AGATGAAAGTATAGTTTAGAGCTTCTTAAAAACTATAGGTTCAAGGAGACACACAATGCCCGCCACTGGCTCAGCGGTGTGTCTGTGGACTTTGAACGCTAAAAACCGGATTTCGATACTCGTAGTGGGCAGAGCATAGATAGCGCATTGTGAGGCTTTGTGCCTAACTGCAAACAAAAGACACGCAAATAGCTGAGTGTCTCTATATTAAAGCCAAATCTTAACACACTTCAGGTCTATATTTCAATTGCCAACTTTCCCTGGTTGACTCCACGATACTGGCATTATTAACGTCGCAACTAAAGTATGGTTTTATCTATTTAAAAACTGTTATGTTATTTAATTTCTGTAGTGCATATTGGTGTATAGAATACATATTAATACCAGAAATAAACGACCTTATAACACCAAAATGCTGTATTTATTTAATTAAACACTCCACGTATCGCATTACAGCTTCTTCAGGAGCGTTCATTAAAACACAAATCAAAACTGACAGTACAAAGCTTCAAATTTGTAGCTTGGTACTGACAGTTTATGTTTTAGTGGACACTATTGAAGTAGCTGTAAAGCGATACGTGGAGTGTTTAATTAAATAAATACAGCATTTTGGTTGTTATTAAGGTCGTTTATTTCTGGTATTAGAATTGTTATGATGTTGAGGGCTGTTATGTTTTCAAATATTTGGAGTTAATGCTACTGTTTTTAATTGTATCTTAATTTTTTTTTTCCAAACTTAATCGTTCATTTCTTTGCCTACCTGTCTACTTCATACTACATGAGTAGCTCACTTTATAACATATTAAGTAATTTACATTTATTTGACCGTTTTCACAGTAAGACTCTTTTGACAAATAATGTTAAGAACTGCCAGCAAACATGCGCGCTGGACATTAAGAAAATTGAGCTGTATAAACGTATATATGTTTCATATAAAATAAATCACAGAAATTGTATCTGTACATGTCAAATGCATATCAGTTTTTCTTTTTTACAGAAGTTAATGTTGATTTTAAATCAGTTATCTGTTTATATATTTTTTTCAGTAACATATATTTCCTAGAAAGTTTTTGCCTTTTATTTGTAAACGTTTTATATTGTAATAACGTAACATGTAGAAGGCGCTGCATGTAGATTTTGATGTACAAAAGCATTGAAGTCTCGAGAAGACTTACAGTATAACGTAAACAACATTGGCAAACCGACAGCTTGAGTAGGCCTATATTATAATATTTAAAAACATTAGCAAGCCGACAGTGGGGTAGGCCTACATTACGATGTTTAAAAACATTGACAAGCTGACAGTGGAGTAGACCTACACGAGAAGTCTGTATCTTTAAATAGATTGTCAAGTTGGTATAACTTGAGATTTGAAGTGACCATCGTTCGTGCTAGGCTGTGCGTCGCTTGAAACCAGTCATCGAAATATTTAAAATCCGCTAATCAGCTGAAATTATCTGTTATTTGTTGTTATTGAGAAGAAATGGAATAGGCATCACAGCTTCAATACATTATATAAAAAAGTACTTAAGTTGTTAATTTATAAATGCGTATCACATATGTCTGTTATAACACTTCTATAGTTTAGACTTCAGACAACATGAATGTGTTCTTTATTTCTAACTCTTTCCTCGAGATCGAGCTCATCAAGCTGAAACCATTTCTCTGTCAAAACATCAGTTCATGCTTTATTCATAACTCACTTTCTTCACACACCATGTTTAAAAGGACAATTTATATGCATTACGTCCCTCTCTTTGGGTTATACTACAGACTGTAATATATTATGCACTGTGGTCTCACGTCATTTGTTTCACATTGGGTCCTCATGTTAAGACTACAGTACTGGTATACGTCTTGTGAACTTAATGTGCACATTCTACACACACACACGATGTAAAAGATATGACAATTATGTAGGCGATAAAATGAAGAGTATTTTGTAAACTCCAATATTCCAAACACAAAATCTCTAAACGTCTTTCACATTCTACACACACACGCACGATGTAAAAGATATGACAGTTATGTAGGCGATAAAATGAAGAGTATTTTGTAAACTAAAATATTCCAAACACAAAATCTCTAAACGTCTTTCACATTCTACACACACACACGCACGATGTAAAAGATATGACAGTTATGTAGGCGATAAAATGAAGAGTATTTTGTAAACTAAAATATTCCAAACACAAGATCTCTAAACGTCTTTCACATTCTACACACACACACACGCACGATGTAAAAGATATGACAGTTATGTAGGCGATAAAATGAAGAGTATTTTGTA